TGTCTTTAACTTAAGGCTTAGATAACACATCTTGAAGCAGCTGCTGACTGGCTGTACTCTGCAAGGGCACCAGTCCTTCAGACACCTCTTTCCTTTCCCCAGAGCTCTCACTTAATGTTCCTCACAGTGCTTCATCCAGGGCACTTGCTGAGGTAGAAGGTGTTTCTCTTGAGTGTCTGACTTATGGACAGAGAACAATAATCAACATAAAAATTTCAATCAAGCAAAGGCCTAAGGAAAAATCTCCTGACACAAACAATTTCTATGAGCCCATATTGGCAAATGGAAATACCTAGTGTTTATTAGAGTGCATACATTATAAGAAGAGACAGGGTCACTTGTGAAAAAAGGTGTTTATAAAATTTGTTAAATAATCTTCAATAACAAAGAGTATGGTGGTTGGGTCCTGTAGGAATTTGGGGAGTGAAGGCTGGTGCATCGGTCTTGTAATCATGTTGGCCTCAGCAGTGTCTGTCATCTTGCAGTTCTTAGAAGTGTACTTGAACCCCACACCTCAGCGTCTGAATTTGTTGCTGGATGTGTACCCCCTGTATATACTGTTGACTCAAGCACTGGAGTCCGGTTATTGTCTCCTCATGGGATCTTTCCCTTCAAGTCTTCCTTCATCTCTTGTGTGGGAAGCTTTATCCTTGCAGTTTGTCTGAGAACACAGATCAATCCTCAAAACAAAGATGTTCTCCCAAAAGCTTTTCAGTTTGATGTAGCTTCACTTACAGTGTTTCTTTTTTCCTTTGTTTCTCTTGTCCACAGGCAGTGGTCGGCAATCTCATTAGTCAACAGAGCCAAATATCAACAGTACAGCAATTGAAATTTCTTTTGAGAGCCAAATTTTTTAAACTTAAACTTCTTCTAATGCCACTTCTTCAAAATAGGCCCACCCTGCCGTGGTATTTTGTGGAAGAGCCACACTCAAAGGGCCAAGGAGCCACTTGTGGCTCCTGAGCCACAGTTTGCCGACTACGGTCCTAGGAGACTACATCATTGGAACATTTTTGCCAACAATTTATCTGATAAGGGGTTAACATCCAAAATATATAAAGTACCTATACAACTCAACAAAAAGAAGACAAATAACCCGATTAAAAAATGAGCAGAGGATCTGTATAGACATTTCTCCAAGGAGGACATACAAAAGACCAAGAGACATATGAAAAAATGCTCAAAATCACTAATTATCTGAGAAAGACAAATATCACATGATCTCTCATTTATATGTGAAATCTAATGAAGAAAATAAAATGATGAACAAGACAGATCCAGAGACACTAAACCATGCAACAGACTGATGTATTTCCAGAAGGGGATGGTGGGGAATGGGAAGAGATTAAACGAAGAATTTATATGCATGTTACACAGTCCATGGACAAACAATAGTGCTGGGAAGGCCTGGGGAAGGGGGCGGGAGCAAGTTGCAAGGGGCCAATGGAGAGTGGGAAGGGCAGGAGATATTTGTAATACTTTCAACAATAAGGGTTGGGGTTTTTTTGTTTGTTTGTTTTTTGTTTGTTTGTTTTTTATAAAAAGGAGGAAAAACTATGTAGGCATTGGAAAGCTCCAAGAATTAAGAGGCCAAGTTCTCAGAAAAAAGAGAAGTTCTTTGAGGTGAGTGCAATAGTCTGCACACAGCTTTTCTTCTTGAGGTATCTGATGAATATTAAGCAAGAAGAGAAAAGGCAAAGGCTAAAAAGTTTTGCAGAATGCAAATTCCAAGAAGCAAACAAATAAATGGAGCTTTTTTCATAGAGCTAAGAAGAAAAAGAATTCACTCTGGGCCTGGTAAGGCAGCCAGAGGTGGGCAGAGGAGTTGAGAGCATTTACAAAAGAGAAACACAGAGAAGTAAGCAGAAACTCACAAAAGTTTTCCCATCATAACACTTGCCAGTTCTTAAATTGCACAAGAAAAAATAACTAAGAAGCTGAGCAAAAAACCTACAGCAAAACTCAGTAGACTTTTCCACAGTCTCATGGTGCTGCTGAAACAAAAATTGAAGTTCAGGATCTGCCAAATAGGATACTGTATTTCAGGTAAATGTCCTAAGCTCTAACTTGGAAACTTTTAATTTATTTTTTATTTATTGATATGGTATCACATAATTGTCCTCATCCCCCATTCCCATCCCAAACCCCTCCCTACATATGCCCCCAATCCCCTGTTGTCCATGGTCACTGGCCAGGCCCATATGCAGGCACACAAGTCCTTTGGTTGATCTCTTCCCCCAACTCCCACCCTTCTTCACCCTCCCTCCGAGGTTTGAGAGTCTGATCGATGCTTCTCCTTCTCTGGGTCTGTTTCTGTTCATCATTTTATGTTGTTCATTATTTCCTCTAGATGTGTGAGATCATGTGATCCAAGAAATACCCTTGTAAGAACCTAAACTGCGACAAGCCATAATGGTTATGCTGAGAGGCAAATGAATCAGTCTGCAGTGAGTTCCTTTCTGGGCCAACAGTTCTTTTGAGTCCCAATTTCAATGTGAAATAGTTCCTTATGTGTACATGTCAGCCATGATATTTCAGATCTAGTTGGTGGACAAATGGTGGTGATGCAGGTCCGACTGTCTCTGGTTTGGTCCTGGGCATCCTTCAGCAACATGCAGCTGCTGTCTGCTGGTATGGTGAGGAGTCGTCAGCATCTTCCATTTCTGAATTGTGTCTCTTCTGTATTCATGGCTGGAGCACTTCTGTCTATTCCTCTCTGTTACAGGATTCCAGATGGTCTCAGAGTTGTTTTCTGAAAATATACAAACATACTCTCGACCAAAAGTTAATAAAGGGATAGTTTCTTTAAATTTGACTTGGGGTTCTTTTTCATTTTTTCCTCCCAAATAATTTTCCTCTGGCTTGTTTTGACACCATGTGTGTATTTTCAGGGAATCATGCTGTTAGCGTTTCAAATGAAGGTTAATTTTCTAAAGTACAAATTTTTTAGATGTAAATTATTCTCAGGATATTTTTCCTTACATGATATTCTTCCACTGTCACCCTCTTTTTTAATTTAAATAATAGGAGACTTTTGGAAATTGTATAATGTAGTCTTGATAGCTTTTACATTTTAATTATTTGCGCTACACTATCACTGCTTTAGGTTCATAACATGTGCAATTTTACCATGAAATGCTCTGCCAATAAGAATTTTTGTTAACACTTTAGGAACAGCTTTTTGTACAGTACAATCAGTTTTTCTAGAATATTCATGTATTTCCATTAGCTACATTAATTTCCTCTGAGAAATTAGCTACTATTCATCTGTCAAACTCAACATTCTAGCAACAGTCTTATTTACCATGTGTGTATTAGTGGAATTGATTATTTGCCTTCTTGAGAAGGGCCTGAGCATTCCTGCTACTAGGCTGGAGTTGGATATTAAAAACCCACTTGCCCACACCATGGTACAAGACCTCTCAAACAAGTCTTGTTGCAGTGAGAGGGCAGCTGCTGTCAGGCAAGTCTCTGTCTGTTACCTGGGTCCCAATTTGAGCTGTGCATGGGAAGCAAAGCAGCCATGGGGGCAGGAGACCTCCCTCAGAATGGGAGAAGGTTCAGGTGCCTGCCACGTTGCGGGGGGGAGGGGGTAGTGGTAAGGGTCTGCCCCACCTCTGTTGACCCCAAGTTCTCTCCTGATGGCCCCTCTGCGACTGTGCCTGTCTTAGGTTGTTCCTTCCCTGAGAAATCTTACCCATCTCTGGCTAACCAGCCATCCTCCAGGGCCAAGCAGGGTGATGTGAGGTTTAGTTCTGTCTCCTTGGGTTCCATGCCCAGCACCTGCCTTGGGAACCCCTTACCTGCTGGCGAGGCCTGGGCATTGATCTCATATTTTTGGGAACCCATGTTTTTTCTCCAGAGAGGGCCCAGCTCCCCCACTGGGTGGGCAAGAGATCTATGGTACCAGCCACCATGATGCTTCAGCCTCGGCATGAACTGAAAGGTCCGGCAACAGTTGTGGGAACCTGGACCATGAGAAGAGGTTCATTTTTGGCCAAAAAGGCAAGATGGGCCAATATAGAATGCTCAGGTGCCTTCACAATAGAAGGGATGAAGTCTTTTCATGTCATTTTTAAATTGCTGCCAGACATTCAAAGGATTGGTTTGTATGTTTGTTTGGGATAATTGTACAATATGCTGTTGTAATTCTAAAATATCTAGAGCTGTGTTACCTTTGTCTCCAAGCACTAACATAACTTGGAAACTTTTGAGTTCTATCATCTGAGTTCTAGGCTCAAAAAGTCAAAAATATAGGCTAGAGTCCTCTCAATCTCTGATTAGATAAAGGGATCTGCCCCTACAATAGCTGCCTGGCAGATAGGGTGAAATTATCCAATTTTTCATATATAATGTCATCTTTCAATTAAAAATACTATAAATAGGGGACTTCTGCCTTCCTCCTCAAGGTGGCCATTTTAACAATGTAGTCTTTGTTCAGAGTCATAGGATTCAGGGTACCAGTCGGGAGTAGGAGGAGGTCTGGGGGGCAGCTGCCTGAGGTGCAGGGTGTGTCTGAGGCGCCTGGAGCCCCAACAACCTGAGATTGGCATCTCCAGTGCCTCCCAGTTCCTCTCTGCTCACAGCTTCCCCGCAGCCTGACACCCCTGAACCCTCCAGCCTGGGGAAGCTGGCCTCTCAGGTCCTGCTGCCGAGGTCCCAGCGCTCAGGATGTGCTTCCGGTTAGGGCGGGACTTCCGCCTTCCTCCTCCTGGTGGACATTTTGAACTTTAGGTTCTTCAAGGACTCACAGCTTCAGCACACTGGTCGTGAGAAGAAGGAAGCGGAGGAGGCCTAGGACAGAACGATCTTGCTGTGCAGGGTGTGTCTGAGGCGCCTGGAGCCCCAACAGCCCGAGATTGGCATCTCCGTGCCTCCGGGTTCCTCTCTGCTCACAGCTTCCCCGCAGCCTGACCCCCTGAACCCTCCAGCCTGGGGAGCTGGCCTCTCAGGTCCTGCAGCCCAGGTCCCAGCGCTCAGGATGATAATTAGTGAAAAAAATAAAAGGCATTGAAGGCACAAAACTAGATGACTACTTTCTTGACATGGAAAGGAAAGGAAAATAGATCTCACTAATCAAGCTGTTTCAGAAATTCTTTTGAAAGCCACAGAATACATTCAGCCCAATCCAGGCGGTGCACTGATCGAAATGGGCAAGGCCATGAAGCTGATGGCGGAGGTGAAAGAATCCTTTGATATTAACGTCAGGGAAACCTTTATCGATCCACTCCAGTTAGTCCACAACGAAGATTTAAAACAGATTTCGCATCACCTGGAGAGGCTGGAGGGCCGCCGCCTGGACTACGATTATAAAAGGAAGCTTGTTGGAAAGATCCCCAACGACGAGATCACACTAGCAATGGAAAAGTTCAAGGAGTCCAAGGACATGGCAGAGAGAAGCATGTTTCATTTTTTAGAAAATGACATAGAGCAACTCAACCAGCTGGCCGAGTTTGTCCAGGCGGCTCTAGACTATCACCAGCAGTCAGCTAACATCCTGCAGATGCTGCAGAGGAAGCTGCGGATTCAAATCACGGCTGCTTCCACTCTGGGCAGAAGAAACTTCAGGCCACAGCCCCTGAGAAGGTATCCAAGTGCACTCAATGTGTCCGCCGCCTCCTCGAAAGCATCAGGGCCCTGGTCAGTTTGGCTCAGTGGATAAAGCATCAGTCTCAAACAGAAGAGATATTGGCATAAAACGGATCAGGAGGAGGCCTCTTCTGATGAGAGTGTATCTATACAAGTGGATGCAAAAGTCATGGCTTCCAAGAGCTCCAGCAACTCAGAGGACCCATCTCTGTAAGCAGTGTTTCTCAGTTTTGAAAGATATTCTGCACCTGACTGAGTCACAAGCAGCAGACTTTGAGCATAAAGCCTTCTTCAATGACACATGTGCTAGAGGCTTCCGTTTCCATATAAACCATCACCAGCAACGGAGGGATGTCTGTGGAGAAAAGTCCTGGAAAGAAGCTATAGACAGGCCCTTGTTTTTGTGCAGATGCACCTGCTATATCTCAGGGGTGCCTTCAACCACTGGGGAGCCTGGGAAAGACTTCTTATCCATCTTAGGGCTGCTGTAGCCCTAGGCATCTCTTAGTACAGGCAGCCTCACAGTGATAAAAAAAATAAAAAATATTAAAAAAATAATAATAATAATATAAATATATATATATATATATATATATATATATATATATATATATATATTTCCAGGTAAAAAGCTGACAATGGACACAGGGTGCCAGATAACCCAGTTCCCATACACAAATTTTAAATTAGGTATAAATTATATTTAAAGAAATAGATAAGGTTGAAAATTTTACCTAAGAACTGAAATCTACAAAAATAATTATAAATTGTAGAGCTGAAAAAGTAAAATAATTGACATTAAAATGTGATCACTGTTTCAACAACAAACTATAGAGAATTCATGAATAAAAGGGTAAATTATTGTAAAACTAGAGGCCTGGCACATGAAATTTGTGCATTGTGCATTCAGGGGCGTCCCTCAGCCCGTCCTGCACCCTCTCACAGTCTGGGAGCCCTTTGGGGGAGTGGACCTAAGCCAGCAGTTGGACATCCTTAGCGCTGCCACAGAGACAGGAGAGGCTCCTGCCACTGCCACTGAGCTTGCCAGTCATGAGCTCAGCTCAGGACTCCTGGCTGAGCAGTGCTCCCACTGGGGGAGTGCGCTAACCATCAGGGGGCAGCTCCTGCATTGAGCACCCTCCTCCTAATGGTCAGTGAGCATCATTGCAACTGGTCGTTATGCCATTCAGTCTATTAGCCATTTATTTTATAGGATATCCAAGCTTGAGGACAGAAAGGAAAATGGTACAAAAAGAGTATAAGAGACAGAGACATGAAGAAAAGTCTAATATTCAGGCCAAAGCAACATTTGAAGAAATATGGTTGATACAGTTTAAGACTTATGAAAAGCATCAATCTACAGATTCATAAAAGTCTAAGAATTCCAAAGAGATTAAACAAAAATAAAAACCTATCTAAGCACATTATAACCAAAACTCCTGGGAAAAAAATCTTAAAAAATCAACTAGAGAAACAAAATACATTAGCTTTAAATGAGCTACCAAATTAACAGCTAATTTCAAACAGAAATGATCAAACCACAAGACATTAGGATAACTACTGAAAAGCTTTAAAAAAAAAAAATCCAGTCTAGAATTATATATCCAAAGAAAATAAACTTTAAAGATAAAAATGTAATGCCTAGTTTTTAGAAAAAGTACAATGAAGTATGTGGTAATGACCATCATATTTGCTGTTTATGTTGAAATAGTCCCAAAGAATTATATATAATCAGAGAGAGAAAAAGCATAAGTCAAATGTGGTAAAATACTAACATGTAGAAAAGTTGAATAAAAGATACACAGATATTGCTTGTATTATCATTGCCACTTTCTTGTTATTATGAAGTTAACAACAAAAGTTTTGAGAAGATAAAAGATGAATAGATGAAGCATTTCTCCTCATTATATCATTTCTCTCATTTTTAAAAACTGCAAATAATAATAATAATAATAATAATAATAATAATTAAAGTTAAAGAATGTTCCAGATAAGCAAAAACTCAGAAATGTTGATTTTACAAAGTCTACACAAGAGACACTAAAGGGAATTTTTTAGGCAGAAGAAAGATAATGAACCCCTGGAAATGTAAGAAGTATGGAATAGCAAAGTAAAAGGAAGATAAGTAAATGAAAGTGAATAATGACTGCATGAAACAACAATAACATCTTTAGAAGTTTAAAATATATGTGTTGATAAAAAAAACATGACATCAATAATACAAAAGGTAGAACTTGGGGAGGAGAATTAACAAAAGTTAAAGTGTTCCAATGTGCTAGCCTCACTTGAGAAGTGACAAAGTCCTGGTTTTTATTTGATCTCACAAGTCATGGATGTATGCTGTAGTCTCCAGGAGAGAGAAAGAAAAAAGAGGGGAGGTACAATCAATCAATAACAGGCACATAAAAGGGGACATCACTATAGACAAGATGGATATTTAAAAGAAACTTAGAAGATATTATAAACAATTTTGCCAATAAATTTGAAAATGCATATAAAATAAATTTTTAAATAAAAATAAAAGAAATTGGAAACTAAAATATTACTGTATTAGAAAACAAATGGAATATGTAACAAAAAAGTTAATAACCACAAAACAATTCCAGATCTCCAGTTGACTTCACTTGTGATTTCCTCCACAAATTTGAAAGGTATTATACCAATACTAGAGGCCCGGTGCATGAAATTCATGCACTCGGAGGGGTCTCTCAGCCCTGCTTACACCCTCTCATAATCTGGGAGCCCTCAGGGGATGTCAGACATCCTTAGTGCTGCCCTGGAAGTGGGAGAGGCTCCTGCCACTACTGCTGTGCTTGCCTTTTATTATATAGGCTTATGTGAAACTCTATCTTTAGTTAATCTCTTCCTGACCCCTCCTCACTTCTCTCTGAGATTTGTCAGTCTGTTGCATGCTTCCACATCTCTGAATCTATTGTGTTCGGCAGTTATTTTGTTCATTAGATGCTACATATAAGTGAGATCATGTCTTTCTCTGTCTGGCTTATTTTGCTTAGAATAATCTTCTCCAGGTCTCTTCACGCTGTCTCGAAGGATAAGAGATCCTTCTTTTTCACAGCTGCATAGTATCCATTGTGTAAATGAGCCATATAATCTTGCTTCTATGTTGACTCTCTTTCCATCCTGGGATTAGTAATAAGTTAAATTATATAAAGACAAAAAACCTCATTTCACATTTACCTAAAGGCTTCTGAGACTGAACACTGCATGTTTGGCACACATAAAAGATCTTTATTTACTTGTTATCTGATCTACGAGCCCAGAGTGCATACCCAGAAACCATGTCAGGGAGAGCAGGAGGACCACTTTTCAATATAAAATCTTCATTCCCAAATCCCATCAAACCTAGACTTTGCTTTTCTTAATTTACTTCAAATTATATACTTTAGGCTATTTACCCAATGGCACTTTACACAGGAATAAAAAACAAATAAACAAAGCAATAAACGACAACATGGGTAAATGCTAGCAATATAATGAGCTAATCAGTATATCTCAAAAAGATTACATACAAAATTAGAATTTTATAATTTTAGGGTTAGGCATACATTTAAGTATAATAAAAGTACTGAAAGGGAACAGAAGATGAGTAATGAACACAGAATCAAACTCACTATTTGTGGGAAGAAGCTGGAAGATAGGATGGGGAGGGGAGATATGATTAGATTAGGTATTTTGTGGTTAGATAAAGGTTATTGTCAAGGCCGTAGCTTTGGCCCTAGCAAATTCATGAGTGTTACATTATTTAAAATAGCTATATGACTATGTGTATCAGTAAGGGTCCATATGGGAAAACAGCAACCACACCAGTAAGTTTAACAGAGAAAATTTCATATAGGGAATTGGTTAAATAAATATTTGAGGAATTAGAAAGCAAAAGAGAACATAAAGGTGGCATGGATAATGGTAACTGCAGAAATCAGCCACCACCCTTAGGGCTGGAAGGACAAAAGGATAAGGTCAGGATTATCAGAACCGAGAAACTCAGAAGAGGGTCCTCGTGGAGTTTGAAGGGGCCCTATCCAGCTTGTGCTAGTCCCTCTGATGGGGCACAATCAAGCTAGTCCTGAAGCTGCTCGAAGAAGCTGCAAAACTGAATAAACTGATATTGTCAGGGTGAGGCTATTGTTGAAATAATGCTAACAGGAACAATGAGAAAACCAGGAATGATTTTCTCCTCTTCCAATCTCGCCACAACCCCCTATCTGTGGAACATAACAGGGAGCCAGGTGGTAAAGGAGAAAAATGGCCAGCAAAATCCCAGCCTCCAAAACACAGGGTATAGGTGGGTGGATTTGGCACTGAAAGACAATAGCGGATTAACTGGCACAGGCTAGGTTAGCTGTTCTGATAACCCGAAATCTCTAACACAATTTACTTCAAGTATATTTCCTGTCCGTGCCCATGTCTAGTGCAGGTCAATAAGGTGCTCTGTTCATCACAGCCACTCAAGGGCCCAGGCTTGTGAAAGTTTTTGTAATCAGCAGAGCAGTGAAAAGGATGTATGGATCCTTGTTTTTAATGCTTCTGCTCAGAAATGATGCACCACTTCTGGTCATATTTTCTTGGCCAAAGCAAATCACATGAACATGCCAAATTTTAGAGGTTATGGGGAGGTGCAGCCCAACTCCCTCAGAAGCCAAGTAATGAATGAGAATTGTCCATTCATGGGCAAATGAGAATGTGTCATAAACCAAGAATTATACGTAATCCAATTTTAGGCACCTGAAATAAATACACACAGAGAGACTATCTATCTATCTATCTATCATCTATCTATCTATACACAAGTTAAATTAACATCTTGTTGTGCTACACATAAGCATTCTATAGGAGCCACAATGAGACATACTCAGCCTTCAACATCATTTAATGACCAAGGTTGCATATCTGCAATATTATATTTAAGAATTTGTCCCTTAAACTTAAGCACTAAAGGGGAGATGAACAGCCTTTTATTTGATTTAAAGAAACAATGTGACGAAGTAAGGAGGACTGTTTTCACCATGGAAAAATCTGAGTCCCAATATTGGGACAGGGCTGCAGTGAATGAGGCTGAATTAGGCCAATTCAAATTGGTTTAATCTCAAAAGACAATATCTAATGCTGGAACAACCAGCCTTCTTATGTAACACTCCTACCTAATTTCCCCCAACTGTGGCTATGAGTTGCTGATGGAATATAATTGGTTATAGACAGTAATCGTGTTTTGTCTTTATCTTTAATGAGTCAAGGGTCACACATTTGCATCTCCAAAAC